TTTTCCGACTCAGGGGGATGTAAAACGTCGAGATTTGCAAAAAATCTCTTTTTTCGCACGATTACCAGTCTCTATTCTTCGTATATACGAGAAAGTAGAAATGATAATCAACCTAGAGCTCTTTTGAGTCATGTCACGAAAAGTTATTGTGTAATGTCATGACATCTGTATTACGTCACCAGTGACATTTTTTCCTGTCACTATGATAGTACTATGTCATGTCATATCTGCTGTACTATGTCAACAGTGACTTATACCTTGTCACTACAATGATGATCTGTCATGTGTCACTAAAAAGGTGTCAGTGCTAAAGTCATGTGTCAGCGTGTTTAATACAGCCTAAAACATCATCCAACATCACACAAATCTTCCCCCCCCCCCCCCACATAGATCCACGCTACACACCTTACCTCTTCCACATATATAACTCCCATCCCTCCTTCTCCCCCCCCCCCTCTTTCTCCCCCACCGCTCCTCCCCCCTCCCCCACACACAAAGTAACATGATAATAAACAACATATATCTTTACTTTCCACACCATTCTAACACAACTCACATATTGCCCTCCACACTAAAACAAAACCCAAACTTTACCCCCCCCCACACACACACACACTACACCGCACAATATCCCCCACCACCCCACACTAAAGCTGAACGAGTAGTATAGCCATCCCTATCTCTAGCACTAAATTGGACCTTTCCGCCTAGGCTAATTCAAGAAATGGAAACGCCTCAAGTGGTTAGACGAGGTGAAATTTGTTCATATATTTTTTTCAACATTTTCTTCATTTCATTTAGTTACTGCCAGTATCAGTACGTTTGTTAGATACTGTTCAAACACTTTTTTTTCTATACTTATTACGTTATAATTATAACCCATATGTTTGTTTATGCTTTATATTTTAAATAGTTTTTTACAAATCCTATTTATGGGTATGTTTGAATATGTTTGCTAGTTGTATTGATTGGTTACGGTTACACTGAACGCCCGTTGAGTTACACGAATGACATAGTTCACTTGATACGCGTTGATGTTGTTGACATTAAGTTGTTCATACGCGACTGTAACAGAAAAATGACCTATGTTTATGTTATTTTAAATATTTAGTAGCGTTCAAATCCGGGTTCAAGTCAGTAGACCGTCCCTTAGTCCACCCAGCTCTGATGGGTACCTAACTCACGTTAGGGAAAGTAAAGGACATAGTGCTAACCACACTATCCCTTCATATGCCGATGTCTCTGAAACAAGTGAGACCGTCAGTTTGGGAGGGAAACTTTATTTTAGATCATCACATCCTTTTGTTTTTAATTTGGTGTGGAGCGGCTGCGGGGGGGGGGGGGGGGGCAGTTTGGTCGGAGGTGTACACTTTTCGAACTGGGATATTAGGATTAGTTAGCGAGCGTTCTATCACTACACCATGCCGTCCCATCATACTTGCTAGGTTGAAGGCATTTTTCGAATGTATGTTTATCCTATTGCGTAAACTATAAAGCGAATACAATAAATGTCATAGTTCATTTTTTTGCTTTCTGTAACACTTGAAGTTATCTGAAGTTATCTGAAGTATTCTACGGAATGCATTTTACACAGAAAAAAGATTTTCTATTTCTATTTCTTTGAAGAAGGTCAAGACGATTCAAGAAAAACGAACATACAGACAAATTACTATCTATTACTTCCCCTGATGTAATTGATTATCTCCCTTCTTTTACCAGAATTGCTATATACTTGATCTTTTAAAGCTCTTCCAGACTGAGACTGGTTTTTTTTTTCTTTTTTGATGAGCAAACTTTATTCTACATTAAAGTGGATGATGATAAAAGATACTTTTTTATGTTTATGTCCTTATATATATATATATATATATATATATATATATATATATATATATATATATATATATATATATATATATATATATATATATATAATTTTAACATATATAATTATATAATGAACGTTAGAAATGGGAATGTCAAATTTTGAAGATATTGGTTTTATTTCATTGATTTTCTGTAACTCGACTTTCAATAATTCCACGTTCTGAAACTATCTATTTTACAGTGTTGTTTTATAGCTATCAATTTTAAGCACCTATCTATTACCTCTCTTTTAAAGCCATACAAAATTATCTAGTTTTTATCTATCTAAATATTAACTTTGGGTACCGTTACCTAGCCCGACTTTAACGTGAAACAGCAGCTTTATTTCTATCATCCAGATTTTCTCCGCAATATGGCTTAAAAAAATCTTACTTTTCCTATCTCGTCCTTAAACTAGTTATTATAACAGACATAAATGGTATTGTTTATAAGCTAGGTATTAAATATTTTATTCATTAAGATTCAAAATACTAGCAATGAAGTTTTTATTTAAATTTTACAATTGGGACTTGTGTACGTTAATTAATTTTAATTGTTTTGAAATTTGAAATGCTAATTTAAATTTTAAAAGGGAAATTTATTGATAATAGCTTTACGTGGGTTGTGAGAAACGATGGTGACCGTTACAGTAAAACAATGCTTCCCTACCCTTCACCTGTAAGTAACAACGATAGCCGCATCTACCTATGGCCTACTGCACCCCCACTAAATACACCCACACACACGGCCAACTCTATCCACCACCAACTGCCCACCCACCCACCCCCTCTACCACCAACTGCCCACCCACCCACCCCCTCTACCACCAACTGCCCACCCACCCACCCCTCTACCACCAACTGCCCACCCACCCACCCACCCACCTCCTCTACCACTAACTGCCCACCCACCCACCCACCCACCTCCTCTACCACTAACTGCCCACACACCCACCCACCCACCTCCTCTACCACTAACTGCCCACACACCCACCCACCCACCTCCTCTACCACTAACTGCCCACCCACCCACCCCCTCTACCACTAACTGCTCACCCACCCACCCACCCACCCACCCCCATTCAGCACTCGCCCTCTGTGGACCTGAAATATTCCTAATTGCTCTTTAATGAATCATGACGTAATCAGCGACTGACCACGCCTGAATCAGCCTCCCTTTGATCTTGTATGCCACGTCAGCATAGCAGAAGTTCATACCCCACCCACCCAGCACAAAACATCACCCCCGTCCCATGGGGCGAAGTACTCGCCAAGAAAAGATCGAGCATTGTTTCAAGAAAATCTTTTCTTAGGTCACCTGAGGTCAGGTATACTCACGTCTTGACGGGTCGTTTTGATCACAGTAAGTCACATGACCAGCTCTATGCATGTCACGTGGTCTTCTCTATGCATGCCATTCACACATCACATAGTCGTGTAGATTCTCTTAAGGTATCACTCCATCTTTAAAACCTCATCATCCGCACTGTACCAACTCAACCATTTCTCAAAGTCTATAAAATAAAAATTACAGTACGGTTTAATTCTCTGAAGACATCGCAAGGTCTTTAAAACCAAATCACTCAGAGGAGAATTTCTCAACAATTTAAAAACTGTTTTACACGTGGGGTTACGGCATAAAGGAATCAGTTCGAGTCCCGTTCCAAGAAAGGCAATCAATTTATTTAATCTCTTACCACTTAATCAAAGGGTAACGCATTTTAAAAATGAAGTTTGATCTTGTTTTCTTAAGCACCGAGTAGCACTGGGTTCATAAACCTTCTAGAACATGTCAACATGATTAGAGACATTATTTTAATTAAATTATTTTAATTATTTCTATTAAATAAAGACCTTTATCTTCTAACGTTTTTATTTTTTTTCTCAACAAAGACTTAATTAGCATTTTTATAATTACCTGGCTAGATCTATAATTATGTATGTACGTTTGAATTAAAATTAATTAGTTCTAAAATCTATTCTTGAAAGATAATCGAATGTAAAAAAAATATTATTTCCCTTTCATGACGAATGTTAACTTATTCCATGCCTGACACGACTCCCAAAAAAAAAAAAATATATAAACCAACAACCCCTCCCCCCACACACACTAATTATGGTGTCTAAAAAAAGTGTTGGAAATAGTGTCAAACATAGAGTAAATCTTAGTGTCCCAAGAGAAAAATAATGAGTGTCCAAACAAAATAATGAATAATAAATATTTATTCTGTCCTGAGATTTAAAAAAATAGAAAAAAAAAATTATTATGTCGAAACAAAAACTCCATGAATTAGATTAAAAAATATTAAATTTGACATTGTTCGACCATTGTTTCCTCCGCCATGGAGGTATGTGACGTGGGTGCAACAACTACCACATTAAAATTATACGGTGGTCAGGTTCTGTATATGTTTTAAGATGCGCATTAATCAGAATGATATGGATATGCAACCATTTTTAGCACACATTTTTTCTCTAGATTATAACACTTGCATTTGTTTTATTTGTTTAATAAAGTATATTTATCTTATTTGTTTTTGTCTCCATTTTATAAAAAAAAATTATGGGGTGATAATTGCCTACTAGTTGTATAAAACGTTCATGAATTGAATACAAACAAATAAATAATTGCGAAAACGGGTTGAAGGATTATTGTTGGGATAGAAATACAATTGATCACGTGAACAAATATTGTGAGTGAGATATTTTTTTTAACTTTTTAATTGCAAACAAATCGTAATTCCTGAGTGACAAATGGCTAGTCGCCTTCTCATAAATTTTTGATTGCTGCGCTGTTGTAAGGTTTGAAAAAGTATTATAAAATGAAATAGCTTTCAATCATGATGCATTTGGTATTAGCAAAAATGGATATAATGAAACGCAGATTAACTAGTTTTTCATCTGATAAACTAATTTTTTTTAAAATAATTCAGGCGACTGTTGGTAGAGTTAGGAATTGTAAAGATTAACAAATGTGGGTTTTTATGTTTCTATAAATATAGAAGACACGTGATTTTGGATTAAAGAAGACATGACTTGTTTTAGTTCCATAATCATGTAGACATTTTGTCACGCTAAGATAAGCAGACTTTTCATCAGATTTCTAATCAGGATTTACATCAAACTGTATATCAGATATGGAACGCAAATCAGGATTTACATCAGACTGTATATCAGATATGGAACGCAAATCAGGATTTACATCAAACTGTATATCAGATATGGAACGCAAATCAGGATTTACATCAGACTGTATATCAGATATGGAACGCAAATCAGGATTTACATCAGACTGTATATCAGATATGGAACGTTAATCAGGATTTACATCAGACTGTATATCAGATATGGAACGGAGTTATCTAAAGGTAGAGAGCTAGATTGCTAACTCGTAAGTCTCGAGTTCGAATCCGGGTTCTAGTCAGTAGACCGTCCCTGAGTCCTTCCAGCTCTGATGGGTACCTAACTCACGTTTGGGAAGGTAAAGGCGGCTGGGCATAGTGCTGACCACACTATCTCTACATATTATGCCGAAGTCAGAGAAACAGGTGAACCGTCAGGTTTGGAAGGGGAAGTTTATTTATATATCAGACTTTACATCAGACTTTACATCAGACTTTACTCCAGACTGTCTTCAACATCAAACTTTACAATAGATTTTACCACAGAACCCATAGCAGACTGCAAAAAGTCTTTAAAAAATCGTATTAAATATTTCAAATAGTACCATTTGCCTGGTTATACATTTTTGCAAATAATTCAATTCACAATAGTCTCTTGAAGTGATCAATAAGATAAGATTATGAATTTAAAACATTTTCGTGTGTTAATTATTAGATCAATACCACCTTCCCATGTAATTTGTAAAGCTATACAATAACATATCCGTGTGACACGTGACGTCCTCTCTACCAATCAGAACAGAGCTAGCAGCCATGTCATGATGAGAGCATTTAGCAGACGTACGCGGGAATTGAAAGGTTAACAAGTTCGTTAACTCTCTGACTCCACCAATCAAAGAGCTGATGACGTCACGATGTTATTGTTTCACTGCGGGCAATCAGTCAGTGTTCTATTAATAGATCCTCTACATCAACATGTCTCAATAGTTCCTCTACATCCACAAGTCTCAATAGTTCCTCTACATCAACATGTCTCAATAGTTCCTCTGCATCAACATGTCTCAATAGTTCCTCTGCATCAACATGTCTCAATAGTTCCTCTACATCAACATGTCTCAATAGTTCCTCTGCATCAACATGTCTCAATAGTTCCTCTGCATCAACATGTCTCAATAGTTCCTCTACATCCACAAGTCTCAATAGTTCCTCTACATCCACATGTCTCAATAGTTCCTCTACATCAACATGTCTCAATAGTTCCTCTACATCCACATGTCTCAATAGTTCCTCTACATCCACATGTCTCAATAGTTCCTCTACATCCACATGTCTCAATAGTTCCTCTACATCCACAAGTCTCAATAGTTCCTCTACATCAACATGTCTCAATAGTTCCTCTACATCCACATGTCTCAATAGTTCCTCTACATCCACATGTCTCAATAGTTCCTCTACATCAACATGTCTCAATAGTTCCTCTACATCCACAAGTCTCAATAGTTCCTCTACATCAACATGTCTCAATAGTTCCTCTACATCAACATGTCTCAATAGTTCCTCTACATCCACAAGTCTCAATAGTTCCTCTACATCAACATGTCTCAATAGTTCCTCTACATCCACATGTCTCAATAGTTCCTCTACATCCACATGTCTCAATAGTTCCTCTACATCAACATGTCTCAATAGTTCCTCTACATCAACATGTCTCAATAGTTCCTCTACATCCACATTTCTCCATAGTTCCTCTACATCAACATGTCTCAATAGTTCCTCTACATCAACATGTCTCAATAGTTCCTCTACATCAACATGTCTCAATAGTTCCTCTACATCCACAAGTCTCAATAGTTCCTCTACATCAACATGTCTCAATAGTTCCTCTACATCAACATGTCTCAATAGTTCCTCTACATCCACAAGTCTCAATAGTTCCTCTACATCAACATGTCTCAATAGTTCCTCTACATCCACATGTCTCAATAGTTCCTCTACATCCACATGTCTCAATAGTTCCTCTACATCAACATGTCTCAATAGTTCCTCTACATCAACATGTCTCAATAGTTCCTCTACATCAACATGTCTCAATAGTTCCTCTACATCCACATGTCTCAATAGTTCCTCTACATCCACATGTCTCAATAGTTCCTCTACATCAACATGTCTCAATAGTTCCTCTACATCCACATTTCTCCATAGTTCCTCTACATCAACATGTCTCAATAGTTCCTCTACATCAACATGTCTCAATAGTTCCTCTACATCAACATGTCTCAATAGTTCCTCTACATCAACATGTCTCAATAGTTCCTCTACATCAACATGTCTCAATAGTTCCTCTACATCAACATGTCTCAATAGTTCCTCTACATCCACATGTCTCAATAGTTCCTCTAAATCCACATGTCTCAATAGTTCCTCTACATCAACATGTCTCAATAGTTCCTCTACATCAACATGTCTCAATAGTTCCTCTACATCAACATGTCTCAATAGTTCCTTTACATCCACATGTCTCAATAGTTCCTCTACATCCACATGTCTCAATAGTTCCTCTACATCAACATGTCTCAATAGTTCCTCTACATCAACATGTCTCAATAGTTCCTCTACATCCACATTTCTCCATAGTTCCTCTACATCAACATGTCTCAATAGTTCCTCTACATCAACATGTCTCAATAGTTCCTCTACATCAACATGTCTCAATAGTTCCTCTACATCCACAAGTCTCAATAGTTCCTCTACATCAACATGTCTCAATAGTTCCTCTACATCAACATGTCTCAATAGTTCCTCTACATCAACATGTCTCAATAGTTCCTCTACATCAACATGTCTCAATAGTTCCTTTACATCCACATGTCTCAATAGTTCCTCTACATCCACATGTCTCAATAGTTCCTCTACATCAACATGTCTCAATAGTTCCTCTACATCAACATGTCTCAATAGTTCCTCTACATCAACATGTCTCAATAGTTCCTCTACATCCACATGTCTCAATAGTTCCTCTACATCCACATGTCTCAATAGTTCCTCTACATCCACATGTCTCAATAGTTCCTCTACATCAACATGTCTCAATAGTTCCTCTACATCCACATGTCTCAATAGTTCCTCTACATCAACATGTCTCAATAGTTCCTCTACATCAACATGTCTCAATAGTTCCTCTACATCAACATGTCTCAATAGTTCCTCTACATCAACATGTCTCAATAGTTCCTCTACATCAACATGTCTCAATAGTTCCTCTACATCAACATGTCTCAATAGTTCCTCTACATCCACATGTCTCAATAGTTCCTCTACATCCACATGTCTCAATAGTTCCTCTACATCAACATGTCTCAATAGTTCCTCTACATCAACATGTCTCAATAGTTCCTCTACATCAACATGTCTCAATAGTTCCTCTACATCCACATGTCTCAATAGTTCCTCTACATCCACATGTCTCAATAGTTCCTCTACATCAACATGTCTCAATATTTCCTCTACATCAACATGTCTCAATAGTTCCTCTACATCAACATGTCTCAATAGTTCCTCTACATCAACATGTCTCAATAGTTCCTCTACATCAACATGTCTCAATAGTTCCTCTACATCAACATGTCTCAATAGTTCCTCTACATCCACATGTCTCAATAGTTCCTCTATATCCACATGTCTCAATAGTTGCTCTACATCAACATGTCTCAATAGTTCCTCTACATCAACATGTCTCAATAGTTCCTCTACATCAACATGTCTCAATAGTTCCTCTACATCAACATGTCTCAATAGTTCCTCTACATCAACATGTCTCAATAGTTCCTCTACATCAACATGTCTCAATAGTTCCTCTACATCAACATGTCTCAATAGTTCCTTTACATCAACATGTCTCAATAGTTCCTCTACATCAACATGTCTCAATAGTTCCTCTACATCAACATGTCTCAATAGTTCCTCTACATCAACATGTCTCAATAGTTCCTCTACATCAACATGTCTCAATAGTTCCTCTACATCCACATGTCTCAATAGTTCCTCTATATCCACATGTCTCAATAGTTGCTCTACATCAACATGTCTCAATAGTTCCTCTACATCAACATGTCTCAATAGTTCCTCTACATCAACATGTCTCAATAGTTCCTCTACATCCACATGTCTCAATAGTTCCTCTATATCCACATGTCTCAATAGTTGCTCTACATCAACATGTCTCAATAGTTCCTCTACATCCACATGTCTCAATAGTTCCTCTACATCAACATGTCTCAATAGTTCCTCTACATCAACATGTCTCAATAGTTCCTCTACATCAACATGTCTCAATAGTTCCTTTACATCAACATGTCTCAATAGTTCCTCTACATCAACATGTCTCAATAGTTCCTCTACATCAACATGTCTCAATAGTTCCTCTACATCAACATGTCTCAATAGTTCCTCTACATCAACATGTCTCAATAGTTCCTCTACATCCACATGTCTCAATAGTTCCTCTATATCCACATGTCTCAATAGTTGCTCTACATCAACATGTCTCAATAGTTCCTCTACATCAACATGTCTCAATAGTTCCTCTACATCAACATGTCTCAATAGTTCCTCTACATCCACATGTCTCAATAGTTCCTCTATATCCACATGTCTCAATAGTTGCTCTACATCAACATGTCTCAATAGTTCCTCTACATCCACATGTCTCAATAGTTCCTCTACATCAACATGTCTCAATAATTCCTCTATATCCACGTGTCTCAATAGTTCCTCTATATCCACATGTCTCAATAGTTCCTCTACATCAACATGTCTCAATAATTCCTCTATATCCACGTGTCTCAATAGTTCCTCTACATTAACATGTCTCAATAGTTCCTCTCAACATTGTCTCAATACTTCCTCTGTCTCAATAGTTCCTCTACAACATGACTCAATAGTTCCTCTATATCCACATGTCTTAATAGTTCCCCTACATCAACATGTCTCAATAGTTCCTCTCAACATTGTCTCAATACGTCCTCTGTCCCAATAGTTCCTCTACATCCACGTGTCTCAATAGTTCCTTTACAACAACATGCCACAATAGTTCCTCTACACTAGTCTAACTACTAAATAGTTCCTTTACACCAGTATACCTTTTCTCTAGTCTAAATACCAGTAGTTCATCTTCACCACTCTGAACCTGCCTACAC